GCCCCTGGTCTTGTTCTGACTGGTGATGATTGAGCTTCTCTATAATTTCTTTCCGCAGATGTAGCCCATTTGATTCCTGGGTATTCCATCTAGTGAGGTGAGTGTATCTAGTTGCATTTACGTTGTTGAGAAAGGCATTTCTACTGTCTAGGTCATTCACCTTGCAAGATTGTAACCTGTGATCCCTGGCGTCACTTCTACCACAAAGGCCATTATTTTCCAACAGCTGATCCTTCTTTGTTTCCAACATTCACATTCCAATCACCTGTAATTACCAATGCATCTTGATTGCATGTTTGAACGATTTCAGATTGCAGAAGCTGGGAAAATCTTCAAATGTCTTCATCTTTGGTATAAACGATTAATATATAAAATGGCCTAATAGCCATATTTGGAGTTCTGGTATGGCACCAGGCACTCCTTGGAAACCCTATACAGGTTAGCTATGAGTCAGAACTGACTCGACGGCACGTAACAACAGCCCTATTACCTGGTCTTCCTTGCAGGTGTATGGATATTCTCCTACCACTGCATGGGTGTTAGGTCTTGAAACGCTCGCTCTTTTGGACAACGAATATGACCACCCCCTTCCTCAATCTAGCCTTCCTACTAAATGGCCAATGCCAACCCTAGGATACATTTACCCACAAGCATCCCACTGCAGTTTTGAGAACTTCCAGTTTTCCTAAATTTATACTTCATACATTCCAAATATTAACAGATGTCTGCAGTTGTTTCTTCTCATTTGACTCATGCCACACATGCAAATAAAGGTCCTGAAAACTTGACTTCATCCACCTCATTATGATCGGCTCCTCTTCCTTCCCCAGTGGTATTGCAATGCCTTTCAGTAAGAGGGGCTCATCTTTGGAGGCGTTAGCAGACCAAGTCCCTCTGCCAATCATAAGGTTTCCTTCCACGTATCCATTTTTTTTCTAAAGCAGATCACCAAGTCCTTCTTCATAGTCTACATGAGTCTGAAAGTGCCAGTGAAGCCTGTCCACCCTGGGCAGCCCTGAGTGTTCAAAGAGTGGAAGCAAAGCTTCTAGCACCAAAGCAACATACAAGCCCCAACAGTATAACAAACTGAGGAGTCATCTAATTAAGTGACAAAAGCCAACTGTCATCAAGTCAACTTAACTCATGGTGACCCCATGTATGTAAAAACTGAACTGTGCTTCCATAGGGTTTAGGGTTTTCAGTGACTACATTTTTGGAAGTTGACCTCAATGGTACAAACGGAAGAACTGAAAAGCCCAGAGAGGAGTAAAACATGGTCAGGACTGACAAGTTTTGTTGAGCCTGAACTTTATAAATCTACACAACTAAGAAAATTTTTAGCCTGCTTTTTTCCAATTTATGATTTTAATCAGCTGCTCCTCAGAAACCCTATACAGGGTTGCAATCGACTCGACGGCACTTACCAACAATGGTTTTCTAGAGATGTTTTGCTCAGTCCAGCACAAAGTACTTTTGTAGACAGTCTAACAGACTATAATAAATATGTCAACAGCAAGAGTGAAGGTTACAATTTTTAGCTACATGAAACCCAAGATTTTAAAGCCTTTGTGGAACTGCAAATCACAAGGTTAGCAGTTTGAGCCCACCAGTCACTGTAAAGCCTCAGAAACCCTATATAGGGTCACTGTGAGTTTGAACCAACTCTACAGCACTTAACAATTCCTCTCAAAATTAATTTTAATTGCTTTGCTTTTATTATCAGCATCCCTACTTAACAGTTGGAAAGAGCTCTGGTAGTGTAGTGGTTACAAATCGGTCTGCTAACGTCAAGGTCAGCAGTTTGCAACTACCAGCCGTTTCATGGGAGAAAGATATGGCTTTACAGCCTTGGAAACCCTGTGCAGGGTCGCTATGAGTCAGAACCAACTCCACGGCACACCACCACCACCACTTAGTTAAGTGGTGAGCAGTTGGTTCCAATTCATAGGGACCCGGGTCTCTGAAGTTTTAAATCTTTTGTAGGTAGGAGCAGAAAGTGTCATCTTTCTTCTATGGAGAACAACTCTGAATTTGCATGTTCTAACACAGAAAAACTATTAATTAGGGAGAGGAAGCACGTGGCTCCATACTAAAGCACTGGACTGCGAACCACAGTTCAAGCCTGCCAACCGCTGTGTGGGAGACAGGTGAGGTTTTCTCGCTCCCTCGAAGATTTAAAGCCTTGGAAACCATATACAGGGTTGCTATGAGTAGGAACTGACTAGACAACAATATCCAAGGAAAATATTCAAAAGGTAAGGTGATGAATTAAGAACATGTTCAACTTATTTAGACCTTACTTTTCTGACTGGCCAAAAAGAAAACCTAGAAGGGTAGTATCTGTACTATTCAGCCATAAAAAGGAATGAAGAGATGCAGCAATACGGATGAGCCTGGAAAACCCAACAAAATGCAAGAAACAAGTCACAAAAGGTCACATGATGTCTGATTCCAATGACGGCCAGGGGCTGGACAGAGGGGGAGGGGAAAGTGACTACTCTCAGGTACAGGGCTACTTTTCACAGCAATGAAAAGGTTCTGGAAACAGAGTGGTGCTGCCTACCAGAGCTGAAGCCAGCGAACCGCACACTCAACAAGGGTGAACCTGTATCTCAAAAAAAAAAAAAAAAGCAAAAAGCCGGTTCAGCTGTGACTCTGGACTCTTTTGTGTCTAATAAGACTTCACACACAGAAGGATTTTACTTTACATACTACTCCATAAATTGCCCTAGCTGTTGTTCCATTGAAAAGATGCCCACCATAATGTTATGGTTAGAAATGAAAGGAAGATGGCATACAAGCAAAAGGAACACATAAAATCTAAGTTGGCCCCAGCTAAACTAGAGTCCTGGTGTGGCGCTGTGGGTTAATGCATCAGATTGCAAAGCCGTTTGAACTGCAAGGTCACCAGCTTACACAGGGTCGCTATGGGTAGGAACCAACTCGACGGCACTTAACAACTAAGCTCCACTAACAAGGAAGCAGAACTCTGCACACTTTTATAAGAACTTCAGGTAATAGCCTGGGGCTCAGGCACAGCAGAGGCCTCGCAGCTTCTTCCAAGCCAAGGGCCGTGGGAGCGAAACTGCAGTGTACACTTTCATGGCCAGGGTCAAATCAGAGAAAACACCGAATGGGCTATCTACCACAGTCCACACACTTAAACACGAACTCATTTTAGCAATGAACCTGCCCTGATTTCTTCACATGGTAGAATCAACCTGGTGTTCTGTCAGTTCTGAGGATGCAAATTTATTTCAAATTTGAACTTGGGACATGCAGAGTTGACCACACACTATTTAGCTTGTCTTTGGTAATGAGTTCAAACCACAAGCACAAGGAAGGGGGAGAGTTGACCACAAAACAAGTCTGAGGAAACAGGCCATCCTACCATCAAATATTTATAACGGCTTTTATGCATGAAGTGCTGTGACATACTAGAGAACAAACTCTTTAAAATAACCTCCAACCAAGGCCATTCAGTAAGCTGTCTTGTGTTCAGGGAAATGAATGACTTTAATGGTAAATGAATTCTCATTAGCCAAGTCCCTCACTTCCCGGGCCACGGCGACAAACAGTCTTGATCATCATGCAAAGCTCCCTCTTACAAGTTGCAAAACATACTCCCTAAAATCACCATGATAAAAAGGAAATTTTGTTTTAGGTAGTCAAAATACCTAAATATAGCTAAATGGACTCCTGGTGTGTAACTGTAGGATGAGCAAGGGGCTGTGAACCACAAGGCTGGCAGTTCAAATCCACCAGCTGCTCCTCAGAAAACCTACACAGCTTCACTGAGTTGGAATTGACTGGACTTAAAACAACACGCTTTCTGTTCATGTAAACACATGGCTTCTGCAGACGCTCCAACTACTTAATTGGGGCAAATTCAGCACCGTGTCTGATAGCACTTGCTCGGAGGTTTGGAGCCCTATGCTCAGCTTTCCAAGTCAAGGGTCCAAACACTTCGGTGATAGCAGTTTGGGGACCAGCTTTCCAATCCCTTCTCCCATGTCATTCATTCTTCTGACTCGGAGCCACCTTTAATAAAACTCAAAGGTCACTCTACTTTAGGATGCATCCAACGCGGAGTTTTTATGAAATCCTTTCAGACAAACTCGGGGGCCAGTTACCAGGTGTCGGATTACCTGCTCAAGGTAGCAGGATGCTTTGTGCTGGCCTAGGCTGTCAGGGAAAGCGGCACTGACCGACAGTTCTGAATTACAGACGCTCGGCAAGTGTAGATTTTAAATCCCTTCTGCCCTCCAGTCTCCCCGGCCTGGCTCCCCAGGCAAACAGTCAGCGACGTCTCCGAGACAGACTTAGAACCTGGACACCGGCTTTCGCGAGCTCGGCCGCCAACGTCCGGGGTTGTGTAACTGACCACGCAGCGCCTCATTACGGAAACGCACACGCTCCTCCTCCCCGGGAGCGCGCCCGCGGCGCCGGTGACAGGCTCCAACGGCCGCCCGACGCACGCGCCGCCCGTGTGCGGAGCCGAGCGCCGGGGGCGGGGCC